CAATAATAGATGTTGGGTCTTGTTGTAAAAATATGGATAAAGTTATTGAGACATTACAAAATTTTTATCGATTAATATTATATCATTTTGAAAAAAGCAGTATTGAAGAGTTATTTGAAGAAGTGTTTTATTTTAACAGTAGAGAGTTAGAAAAACGACAATATATTGTCGATAATTATAAAGCAAGAATAATATTAGTAAAAAAGAAATCTAAAAAGCTAGCAAGCTTACGAGATGTAAATTTATTTAAAAACTCGAAATCTTAAGTACAAGCAACAAAAACCGATAAGATTAGCATGATTTTATTTGATAAGTTTGTAGAAGAGCTTACTGAAGAGAATGACTTGATAGCAAAAAAGAGACATAGAAAACTACACAAATATAAGGAAATTTTTAAGGTAAAAAAATACTAACATTTTATAGTTCTATGCAGGCTTATATTAGTACTCAAATATAAAATTCGTTTTCTTCATGTAACTCCATGTTTCATCATAGTCAAAAAATCAAAAATCTCCCCTTTAATAATCGGTTGTTATTAATTTACATTCTTCACGTCTTTGAAACTATGTCAAATTTTTGTATGAAGTCGCCAGCCGAAAATTTTAATTGAATCGCTGCGTGATATTGGCGAACAGTATTAGGATTTTTATAAAATATAAAAAATAGTGTAATAATTTTTAGGTTTTTATCTACATCTGGACTTTCAAAAATACTAAATGGGAACTTAAAGTAAATATACAGGTACTTCACATATTCTAGTTGCTTTTACTAGTTCCAATGCACGAAACCCCGGAATATGAAATAACAATTTTTTTTAATTCTGTTTCGAAAAAGTATTCCTTAGACTTTTGCAAATCATTATAACGTGTGTTTAATTCTTCTATGCGTTTTGTCGAAAAACATTTAATATTGATTTTATATCTGAGAAGTCAACCGGTCGGGAATTTTTGCTGTTTGTGTTTTCTTTTTTAGAGGCTGGAATCATTGATGTATTTTTCCATATCTGTTCGGGCGTTAGCTTTTCTAGTTTTGTGCTTTTTTATTTTGAGGATGTAAGAAATAAGATTTTTTAAAAGAGATTTTTTTTGGTATTTATATTTATAGGATCTTGCACCTTGTGTAATTTTATATCAGAAAACAGTGTAATATAAACCTACACAGCTAAACATTTGTAAAATGCTTCTTATATAACAATCAATTTTATTACAATGTTATTTTTTTGAATATCAAATATATTATGATGCAAAATTTATACTGTTACCTTTAAATATTATTCTTTCTATGGAAGAAAAGAAACCGTACTTTGGTGGCAAAATTCACCTTGCTGTTTTTTACTTTACAATATCTAAATCAATATTGTATATTTTAACATGGACACTGATTAGAGGAAATAAAGCTATATTAATTTACCTTATATCACAGCTTATTCTGTTTGGTGTAAGTTCTACATATCATACTACTACATGGAAAAATGAACGTGCAGAATATTTAGTTCGACTTATTGATCATATATCAATTTTTATATTGATATCTGGTA